CATCATAACAAGAGTGTTTATGGAAAAATGCTTAAGCACTGAAGCAGAAAGGGCTTAGCACTGATCAGACCTCTCTTCCACCTTTATTCTTCACTGTTCACATTGAAATGCAAATATCAGCGCAGGGTTTCCACTGGCGTGCCACTCACAAATTGAAAAGCAGTTTTTATCTATGCAAATGTAAGCATGGTAATTGAAGTTAATCAATCAATGCTAGCTTTCACTAAAACCTTGAACATGATTGAATAAAGTAATTATCATTCAGCAGAAAATGATGAAGTTGTAGACAGCATGAACCTTATTAAAGGAGGATTTTGAGTCACAATGGCTTAATTTAGCTAACAGCTCAGCCTTAGCCCAAGCATCATACCACTCTTGCTGCCTAGAATTGTTTTAGGATAAAACAACAAAACAACAACAATAAAGGGACTGGGAGAAGACAGAAGTAAGGGTAAAGTAGGAGATTTTATTACCATTATTTTTACAGTGCTTAGATTAATGAAAAATACTTGTCATGATACAAAGGAGAAGCCATAATTAAGATCTTTTTAAAAAGCTCTAAATAGATCAGTGAACAAAGATTGCAATGACATTTTTGATATGCCTAGCAACAACAGGCTCTAATGTTATTATTATATTTTAATATAAATGGAAGAAATAAAGTGAGCATCTCACAAATTTTTGTAAAATAAACAAAAGGAGAGAAACATTTCCACATGTAAAAGTAATCTATTGAGATTTTGCAAATCAAATGTTACACACTTAAAGCAGGTAGAACATAATCTGCATTTTCTTATTGTTTTCCAGAAGTTTTAATAACAGAACATATGCCGCATTTTGCTCAGTCTTTCAAATATTTCATTTTCCCAGAGTGCTATATGCTCAATTGTTTGCTTTAATTTCTAAAAAACAAAACAAAACAAACAAACAAAAAACCAGTCCACCAGAAGGTGTTTTAATGTTAATTCTAGGGTAGTTTTTTTTCCAGTTTCTTTATACTCATCTTTTTTTTTCCTTATGATTTAAATGTTTTTGAGGCTTTAAAAACAAAATTATTTTATTTAAGCCAGTGTCTAGTACTATTGTTGGAAAAAAATCATTTCAGGTAACATAAGAGGAATAATCCATCTCTGGAAAATGTAATCAACAGTTAGCGTGCAACATAATGTAAACTGATTATGGAAAGAGGCTCCATTTAGCTTTTCCAATGTATTTTTGAAAAACAAGGTTAACTAGCAATATTTAGATTAGAGTAGCCCAGCAGGATATGGTGACTCTTAAGAACCTACAGTAATTCTATTGGATTCAATTAGATTGAAAAAAAATTAAAGGTCTGTAATCCTGCTAATATTACTGTACACCCTTAGGGAAGTCACTCCCTCCCCCAACTCCAAAATGGTTGATGCATTTTGCATTTAGTGTATTTTGGATAACAATTTGTTGGATTAAAGCTGTATTCCCAATTGGATAACAAAAAATACCTTTAAAATATATATAGTTAAGTGTTTTCCTCAAATATGTCTCCATTTATCCAAATTTTCTAAAGTTTCAGTAAGCTGATGTACCATCACCTGTATCATTAATAAATCAATAGGTGACACAAAAATAAATTCTTAAGTTTAAGTACCAAATGAATTATAGAGGTTTTTCTAATACACATTTCTGGAATGAATATAATAGTCCTCTCTCCTACTATTTAAGTAAAAGTCATCTCCTTATTTATTATCTTCTATTCCATCCACAAAACATTTAAATATCAGGGGTACTGTGTAAAGTGATATTCAAGTGCTATATAAAAATAGTTAAACAGAATCAAAATGTCATTTTTATTTGGATAATAATGTGCATTAAAAGTATGATATTGATTGTTTACTTTAAATGCCCTAACAGCAGCAAATTAGTCATTTCTGACCTTTTATGGTTATTTCCCACTGCAGGACCAGCCTGGGACAGAAGTTAATACATCCCATTTTCTTATTTCTACTCAGGTATGAAACGAACAGTAGCAAGAAAGACCATAGGATAGGGGTAATACTGTCTTTATTTCTGACCCTTCGTTTTCTGCAGCAGCTTGGAGTTCGATTAAAAAAAAACTGAAGAAGAAAAACTCCTAAGCAATCATGCAGATCAGTTGCCAATATATTTGCAAGAAAAGATCCAAAGTATACAGAATATTTGTCTTATTATCCTTAGGATTAATATAGAGTAATAAAAGCATCCATATAACAGTAGTAAATAATCTGCCATTGTATAATATATACACTTCAGGGAAGCTTGACTCCTGATGAAATGATTTTCAAACTTCAGGAGAAAGACAATATTTTAAGTGGGAACATTCTAAACAGTTGTCTTTGTGTGAGTATACATGTGTGTTGTGTGTATGCATGCATGCATTCTTTTTTCCTAACTGACCTGTTCTATTTGTCTCAAAGCACAATTTGCACAACTGCAGAGGATCAAACAACTGGATAGCCAAATGCTACAAGGCTGTGAATTATGATTGCTGCTGATTTTCTAACTGCTAAAAGGACTGAGACAATATAAAGTTTAGTAAAGAGTTTTGCCCTTGCTGCCTTGCAAACTCAAAGGGAACCCTGAAAGCCCAATGCTTGTAAATTAAAACCTATTTGAAGCAAGTCAACACTGTGGATTTTTGTTCCAAGATATGTCTCATGCCTAAGCCTTCCCTGTTGAAGATTTTCTATTAATTGAGCTCTCAGTCCAATAGTGGGCTCTCTGACTCTAGCCTTCAGTTGTCTACCATAGCTGTGATGGTTAAAAGCTTCTCCGGTTTGTCACAGAGTTTAATATGCACCCTACATAATTATGCAGGATTCACTGTGCTATCAAACTGCAATTCAAATTAGTTCAGGATTAAAGGCACAGAACAGTACTGCTTCCTTAATTGCATTGTACTGTGCTGATCACATTCAAATACCCATTACTCATTCCCTCTGTGGAGCAATAAGTCAGGGGGATTAATATTCAGGCAGGTGACAGGGCCAAGCCATTAAAAGGCAGTTATGCAGAAAGCATGGCTGGTTTTATTCACGTTAATGAAATCAGTGAAATGAAACTGTAATAGATTTATCAAAGCTCAGATGGATTTGCTGTAAATCAGTTTGATTCAAGCAATCAAACTGGACAATAGAGATAGTTTTCAGCTCTAGCACTGGGTGTCAGAAAGCAGCATGTGAAAAGTGCTGATATTCTTCATGTATGGATTTGATATCCACCTCATGCACAGGCCTATTCCCAAAACACTGCTGCTAATTTTTTTGTCTTTTGAACTAGGTGCCAGTGGCTGATAAAACATACAGCATATCATCTTAATACAGCACTTACACTGTTTTTATTCCCCATTTTTAAATCCCCCAGAATATCAATTCTTTCCAATTGCTGGTGGGGGATGGGGAGAAAAAGGAAAGTTTGATAGAGCACAAATTAGCATCGCTGTCCCTCTACTACCCAGAACAGGAATGCAACTTTGGTCAGGGTGAACCTACACAGTTAGCACGAATGTCTTCAACACCAGCACATGTGCAAAGGAAAAATGGTCAGATCACAATTTCCAAGAGTGATGGCTGGTGCAGGAGCCCTGAGAAGCTGAAAATTTACTTTTGTTCTGACTCTAATGGAATAATTTGGTATCCATTAGAGGGCAGCATAAGAACAAAAACTCCGCACAGCAAGGGAAATCTCCCCTGCAGATAGAAAGCACCTATGCTGAGGTAAACTTTTCAATGCAGTCATAGCTTCCAAGTGTAAAGCCAATGAATGGAGAACACTAGGTAACAGAGAAGATGGGAGCAAATCCCACTATTCAAGAAAAAAATGACCCCAACAACAGCATATGCCAACTGAGCTGTACCTAGTTTTCCTTGCATCCTTTAACTCCTGTACCCACGCTTCCTTTTAGGGTTAAAGTAGAAATGATCTTGTGATTATTCACAGACTGTGTTTCTGTTGGGATAGTGATGAACTGTGAAACAGTGGTCAGGTTTTTGTTTACATAAAATGTACAGTAGTTTATACTGAAACTACTCTAATTGGTCTAATTTTTTAATTATTAGAAACAAATTGTTCAAGAACTACAGCCAGTTTTTAATGATCCAAAACAGAAATAAATGTTCTAGTCTATTAGTGTCCAATATGGAATAAATCAATATTAAAGCTAATTAACCCTTTTCAAAGGCATTTTGTCCTGGGTTTTTATTTAATGGTTCAATGCTACTTAAAGCATGGATCAAGCTGGATAAGCTCCATTTAAAAAATGGCCCATTCTGATAACAGTTTAGTAGCTCACTATGACAAATATATTTATCAGGATAAACTTGACTTCTAAGACTGTACAAACAACTGACTGCCTGCCGTTCTTTAAAAGATGACAATAAATAGAGATTAAGAGCAAAAGCCAAATCTGCCCATTTTAGTAACATTATAAAGTAATAGCTGATTTCATTTATTCCTTTTAACGGTATTTATTTCTAGACGTATTTTTAGTTATTTACTTTTAAGGATATTCTTTACAGGGATTGGGAGAGGGTGGTCTCTGCATAAGTTATTTCATTCTAGATCATATGTGAAATGCAAACCTATGATTTGTCCTTTGTGGAAAAAGCTATGATTATTTAATAGTGTTCAAACCCAATGTGCAAAGCACACACCTTTCAGGACATAAATGACTACTTTGACATATGATCAGTGAAAATTATATACATTATTTAAGGAACCCAGCACTCCTCCCCTTTTGCTATACTAGCAATCACAGGGTGAACTTTAATATCAAGCTATTTTTGACTTATAAAATAGATGATATATTTTATAATGAACTAAATTCTTCACAGTACCAGAGGCACTAATTTGTAAAGGTATGAAACTTTGATTAGCCTGCTGTAAAATCAGAATTGTTTACCACAAATGTCTGGATTCTGATTCTTAAAGTCTTTCCAAACAGATAATGAAATGAACTGTAGTGGGGGGGGCAGAGTAATTTATGAAAACGTGCACCATAATTTTGCCATTTTTCTGCGATAAGAATGGCAAGTGATTCATGAGATAAAATGAAATATTTCTCACTGTCATTTCAATGTATCTAAGATTTACAACTTCTTAACTTGGATAGGAAAAACTCTATGCATAAAAATGAATTGCAAGTCAATTAATGATGGAGATGAAAAACAAACAAAAAAACTTGATATTGAAGCAATGGTGAGAAATCTAACCACCAACAAATAAAAGGCAAGAAGTAGTAGTGTCTACTTACTGGGAACCTTTGGAGGAAGGAGCTAGTAAGGAGGCCCTTACTTAAAAGAGGGCATTAAAGTCAGGTTAAACAATAGAGGTATGTTGATTGAGCTCATTACATTTAGATCATTGAGACAAGCAAAAGTCAAATGTGCCTACATTAGACTTAAAAAAAAAAAAGCTAATGAGGAGGTTGAATTCAGAGGATGTGTCTGACTCTAGAATTGCTAATAAAAGTCAATTTAATCCTTAAAAAATTTAGACCCAATTTTATAAAACAAACAAATAAATCCTGTATGGAAAAAAAACCACCCTCCAATTTAAGATTCTCCTTAGGCAGACCTATTCTTTTATAAGTACCAGGGCCAAAAGAAAAAAATTTAAATGTATATGCATTTTTTTACACCTCTCGACTCCTTGACACAATGAAGGGAAGCTAGCAACAGCCAGTGAAAAAGAGAAGAGAGCATGGTTCTCCAGGAGCCATTTTACCTTGAGAATGAGTACAGGGATACTCTGCTGAAGATACAAAACTGGCCTTGAATGGCTCAGAAACTCATGGAACCAGCTGTTCCACGTGCACAGCTCTAATATCCAAGGCAGGTTCCATGCAATTCAATTCTCTCTTTTCACTGAAACAAAACACACTACCTACGTCTGTAGGTATGGCTGCAGGAAACATGCCTCAATCTCCCCAGATTTGAGTGACCCCAGGGCAAACACCTATGGTAGAGAATACTGAGAGATTCAATCCAATGTCAACGCGAAGAGAGATAGTGCTCATGTTCTCACTGGAGTTATGAACATGTGACATGAGATATGAGAACAGACATAGTGCTTATAATTCTGCTTAGGTCACATGATTCTTTCTGTTTTTTAAATTCTGGACCAGGTAGTTAACAAAATACAAGGATACTTATTGACTCTTCTAAAGGGTCCACACCCCTTAGCACAGGACCTGCACTGGTGTCATCCAGGCTTACATGCATTACGTTCTGTGCTTGCATTTCACAAGTTAGGAAGCTAATCAGAAACCTAAAATACAAAGTATGGATACAAAAGACTCATCATTCCTGCCTCCTATACAGAAATCCTCTCATTATGAGTGTACCAAATCAATTTAAAACTTCTGCTGCTTCTTGCCTTCATAATTCAAATGCCACCAGGTGAATCTGGCACTAGTGATAGTGCACTGTTGACAAAATTGCAAAATATTGACATTAGTATCATGTATCCCCCTTTTATGACCATCAAACTCTTAAATGTTTTGAAAACTGGGGGCAATCTTTTGACAAATTTTAGAGTGATATCAAATTTGATAAGCAGGATCAATGAAAAATGTTTTGAATTATTATGTTTTTTTCCCAGGCATTGAACAGTTCATTGTTCCAAGTCTGCCTGGGAGCCCTCACTTTGGGATAGTCTATACAATTTCAAGAACTTTCAAAAGCTCAAAAATGCCTCTGAGCACACATAACTAAGAGGTATCACCTCTAAACCACATGTGGAGAACTCCATGTACTCATGTATATGTGTAAATTAAAACCTAGAAAATAACATGTGCATTATAAAATCTGACCACTGTTAAAACTGATAACAGTTTTACTGATTTACTGACAATGAAAATATATAGCATTTTTTTCTGTCAGAGCATTTATCAACACTTGGCAACCCCGCACTAACTTGACATGTAAGATGATCAAAATGGATTATGTAATCTTTCCCATTCATTTCTATCGATTTTAGTTATGATAAAATTCATCAGTGTGCCTGGGAATGCAGAGGCTCAAAGGCTCCGGTTGACAAAAAAAAAAAAGAAAGGAAAGGAAAAAGAATTCAACTGAATTGTAATAGTACAAATGTAATTTTAGAATAGGATTGCACAAATACAGAAGGGATACACTAAAGGCTGTACTAACAAATTAATACAAATAATTCTGTTTGTCTCATAAAATTACATGTGTCTATGCAGAAATCTCACTTTTGAGATAAAATCACAAAATTTCAAGTTAAAAGAATTGATATGTCATTAAAAATACAGTTTCTAAAAATATTTTAAACTTTTTTAAAACTTCAACAGTAGTCAAAGGTATCTGACTACAAGTAACATCAAAATGCCAGCAAATGGACCATTTTAATCAGTTTTATTGATTCATGCTTTCAGTTCTCATTCAGTTAAAAACAAGGCACATTAAATACATCGTCTTATTGCTCTATAAATGCATGCAGCTCATACTGTATATCAAAAGTAATAAATAATAGTGATAAAATACCAAGACAGTTATAAAAATGACAACCCAGCCTCAAACATAGTATTTAACAGTCCAATCTAGAACAATAACCCAACACAATACATAAAAGTGCCACATATGAAAACATGCAGTGTGTATATCCACTCCAGGGCTGGGCTTATCCTGATATTCTTTGAAAACAAGTAGGGCTTTTTTTATTCCCTAAAAAAGTTAACATAATGCAAAACAGTGCAAGGTACAGCATCATGACTTCAACATGTGATTACACTTATATGCAAAAATCTTTACAAATACATAAAAAGAGGGGAATAAAATCAATGATGACCCTTACAGAAAATTTAGTAAAAGTCAGAATGAAATTTTTGTTGTACAAAAGAGGAAGCTATATTTAGAAACAGAGAACACAAAATCAAGCCAGAGACTACGGCAGAATAAGAAGCATGCATTTAATATTAGAAATACTAAAGTTACACCTGGTATAAGCTGATTGAAAGCATGATGGACATGAGGCAGACAACCTTGGCTTAACAAATAATCCAGCATTATCTCTATTGTTATGACTGAGGTGGGAGCTAAACCACCTCTTGGGGTTCCTTCACCTGAATCCCCCTCTAGGCTCTTGGAATAAATCATTTGATGATATAAGGCAATCCCTGCACACCACTGCCAGACTCCAAAAGAAGCAACTAACATCAGTTTGTATGAAAAGAAAAAAAAAAACACTGGTTTGTGCTCATAATGGATTTTGAAGGGGTTTATTCCTCTATTTCTTCCCCTTTGCTTCAATCAAGTAAAGAAGAACAGGTTTAAATAAGAACTTTTATGAAAATGTTGGGAGCTTTATTCACAGTAATGGCTTGAAATCAGTTCATTTCCAAAACGAGTCTCTGGGATTGGTGAAGGAGGTGTGTTTTAGAATTAGCAGATTTTAAGCAAACACAGATATGCTCAAATGAAGAGAAGTGCACTTTTCTTTGTCCTTAAAGGAACTTCATTCATAGCAAAGCGAGCACAAATGAGGCCTGTTTTTACCAACACAGATCTGCCCAAGCCAGGGACATTTTAAGCCCCGTCCCTACTGTAATGGAATCGGGTAGGATATAGTCGTCATTATCTCGATCTAGCTAGAAAAAGAGAAAGAGAGAGAGAGAGAGAGAAACAGAGAGAGAAAACAAATGTACAATATTGTTTTAAAGGACAGCTTTTCTACCTACTCAGTGTCACTAGGTTCTAAACGGTGAAATTTACTGTCTTGATAGAAGAACACCAAGTTGCAAATCCACATGATTCCATTTAGTAAAAAGAAGAAAAAGCCAGCGTAAAAAATTCACTTTGAAAAAAAAAATTCACAGTGACATCTGGAAGTATTACATGCTTTGCTTTAGATTTTCCTTTATGAACTGGTAAGTATCTAAACTCCATTTAAAAATAAAAAATGGTTGAGATGCTGTCTCTCACTCCCATTTATGTTCCTTTCAGAGGTGGTAAGTAGGGGTATAAGTAAATGAACGTTCCAGTTTCATACAGGCTCAAGACTTACATGAGAGAAGCATAAAGATATTTCAGAATGTTGGTATAAGTAGAAAGAGAGTCACCAATTTTCAAAACTAGGACCAAGTCAATGAAAACCAACCCTGAAATAAAGTGATACATTTCCTATTGTAGACAGAACCTGATCTTTAAAAAAAAAAAAAAAAGTAGGTAGTTAGCTTCAAAAGAGGAAGCACAATTAATAAATATTAAGGTGACTCGTTAAAATGCCAACAAAATATAGCACAAGAATCCCAAGCTGGCATTTTAATTCAGTGTATCACTTGCTAAATTCAATGCACACTGTTTTTTGGTGTGTGTGTGTGTGTGTGCGTGTGTGTGTGAATGTGTGTTGGGTGTGAGGTTTTGGGGTGGGGGAATATATTAAGAATTTTTCCGCTGAATATAAAAGAAGAGTTTTAGCCAATAGACTAGCCTTTGATAGTGAAGGGTTGTGCCTTATTTTAACTAAAGTCTATTCTATCCTATTTTACTGTCTGCTTGCAGATACTTGCCCCTAAAGGACACGTTTGACAATACCACCTGGTGTAAAATTCAGGATTTGGAGATTGAAAATTGTCTTATCATATCTTATTACTATAAAGAGTAGGAAGATTTGGTCTCACCCCCTTATATGCAACTTGCCACTAACACACTGGTTTTAAAGTAAGAAAAGTAAGGATCTTCCTGGAAACTGTCATAGTCAAAGAAAATCAGCACTGACTAGGAAAAAAGGAACTGCTGAGATGAAACTATCATTGTAGGTCCCAGAAAATGTCATTACGAGCCTTATCTTCTACCTGCGATTCAAGAGGCTTTCAGAGTCTCTCTTTGAGATCTGTAACCAGATCTAAACTTTTCCTCCCTTCTCCAGCTCTGCCAGTCATGCTCCAGATACAAAACTGTGCAAAATTATTTGGAAGAGGGAGGTAGATAAGCTGGAAGAGAAAAAGGCTGAGAAGGCTCCAGAAACACAATCATTTCAATAGTTGCTCTTTTTTAAGAAAAAAAATGCTGTCACAAGTTTAATGTCCAGAGCTTTGTGTGTGTCACAGCATTTTTTTTAGCTTCTTTTTTCAATTTCTGCTAAAATATTCTGACTTTAGGACTGATTTAGAATCAATGAATAAACAAAAGAAGAGTATCAAGTCTAACAGGTCACAAAATGGATATCAAACATTAAATCAATGTGCTTTGAAAATGAGAAAATATACTTTTTAGAAGCTTGATTGAATGGCAAATGCAAATAAAGTATTGGCAAATTAAGTTGGCAAATACACTAATATCCTAAAGTTTTGGAATGCTTTCCAGTGTTAAAAAGGAAAAAAAAAAAGCAGCTATCATAGCTATTATGTTAGAGTGATTTAAGTCATCTCGATTGGCCATTACATGGAGATTTGTCGTTCCTAGGTTTGTTGGCTGTGGATTTACTGGTCAGACTCACAATCCTCCACAACTCCGGTCCACTGGAATTGGAACTCTTCGATCAAGGTTTTCTTCTGCAGTTTTCATGAGTATAGCAAGGCGGCTTCCAGACACTCTTCCTTTCTGAATAGCACTCATTAGCTTTAAGAGAAAACAGACAACAGATTCAGAAGATGGGCCAGCTTATTCCCTCATTCTTATCTTTCAGTGGTTACCATTAGGGCAAGGCAGAAGTAACTAAGAGATCCACCAAAAGCCATCATAAGTCTGACAGTTCAAAAAAGAAGGGCAAAGTTTTTGAACATTTCAAAAAGAGGGGAAGGGGCAGGTACACTACTACTACTGCAAAAAAACATCTACCTTGCAAACCAGGCTGCCTCTATAAGCACATCTAATGCATCACGTTTTGCCTTAGTGTACTCAGGGCACTTTTGTTTCTGAAACAACTTCAAATACTGCATCTTTAATTCTATCTGAAATCTTAAAAAGAACTTCAGGGATTGAACAAAGACAAACCATGTCCCATATGTAACTATCCTTTTTTAACTGTACTTGACAACTTCAATTCCCTCAAATTCCTTAAAGACTTTTAAAAGCAATTTACACGTAAGTCCTTGAAAATGGACCCAGAGATGTGCCCTAAGAATCAAAAGCACTCCATTGCCCAGATTTTAGCTAATTCATTTTTATCCAATGGATAAAATCAGAATTAAGTCTTGAAATTACATGCAGTCAGCAGGCAGAGGCCTTTAATTTGGAAAGCACCTTGCAATTATGAGTTTGAGCATCCCCCCACCCCACTTCACTTTCCACATTGAGGTGGTTTTAACTATTTGCTTTTCTTGATCTCATTACCTTAATCTTTTTTACTTGCTTGCCTTAAACAGAGAAAACATACATTATGAAAATTCTTAAAAAATTTTTATTGTTAAAGCTTTTATCCTACAGAGATGCACTTCTAAAAACACAGCTCTACATATAAGTCAGAAGCACCTGCCAAGGGGCTGGATGAGAATTTCGTGACCTTATTAAAAGCTGTTTCACAAGCGATTGCTTATTAGAGATGGACTCCTACATGCAGAAGTGTCATTAAAAGCCCAGACCTGGAAATAAAGTCATGTAATCAGACACTGTCTATAGTGATCCTTCCAGAAAGGTGATTGAAAACTCATATCTGCATTCGAAAAAAGATCTTTAACAAGATGAATGTGGGCCCTTAATCTTCAGAAAAGGAAAATATTTTTATTAAACAAACCAACCAGAAAATATACTTTACATCTGAGGAATAGTGTAATATAAGGAATGATGACATCTAAAGACAGAACAATTTACTGTTTGTTGTTTGGTCCTTGATTCTAAGAATACCCTCAGAGTATATTAGAGGTATAAAAACTGACAGAGCTAGAGTTTTCTTCCAGCCAAAAATAGCGTACCCACCTCAAAAAGTCAGTTTTCTTTAAATACTACATGTATCTAAAAACCACGTTACAAGAAAAAAATTATATTTGGGTGTGAATATATTATATGAGAAATATCATTTTTAAATGGAAATTATACTGTTTATCTGTACTTGCTTGAAACACGAATAGTCTCTTTCATTTATAATTGGACATGAAATAATTATTTAAAAATCTCTACAAGAAAACCTGCAGGTGGTTTAAATTATTTTCTATGTGTTTTAACTCTACTACATTCAAGAAAATTATTTAAAACCCAAACCACATAGCATACCCAAAAAATTAGATGGTTTTTTGTTTCTAAAACCCCAGTTTTTTCAACCTTAAATGCTGTTGCTTATTTACAATGCACATGCAATGAAGCATAAGCCATTTCTTTGAAGAAAAGTTTTGTAAAATTCTGAGACAAACAATAAAATGTTTTCCAGAAAAACTATACCAAAAATTGCATTAAATGGCTTCCAATTCCCAAGCATAAATTATAAATTCAATTTAAAATGTGCATTTAGTTAAACAGTAAGCTAAAGGACTAAACACTCTTTTTTATAATGCTGGACACAACCTGAGAAAATTTTCTGCATTTAGATTCCACAATGCTCTTATCTGCAGCTCATCTCCAGAGAGACAATTACCATTTCCTTTGCCTTGATCTTGTTTGTTTAACTTGACACAGTGAAGAAAGGGCTGACATTGACCAAAATCCCCAGCATTAATTTATTTCATGTTCAGCATTCATCATTGCCATGGTGCAAGCAAGACCCGGCATTCATTTGAAATACCTGCCCAAGAAACACTACAGAAAAAACCTGGCTGCTTGGAAACCAATACATTCTTCAAATGATTACAGTCATATGGACAGCTACAAATAATGTATAGATTTACTGAATTTCTTCCCTTTAAGGAACTTTTAAGAAATGGTGTATAGCAACTAGACTAAAGTTAAAGAAACAAAATTTGTTTCCTTCATGGTTCCAAAGATTAAACAACTGAATCTTCAGTAAATTGAAAACTGGAAATGAGAATGTTTAAATTATATGGTCTTGACCCAACAGTACAAATTTCCTTCTTTTTGTTTTTCTGATTGTTTACAGTATAACAATCTAATAATTACATTCTTAAGTGAAAATAGTTCTTAAATGAATAGAGCTATAATTTTTAATTTCTTTCATTAAAAAATGACTTTAAGCTGGGCATGGTGGCGCTTGATAGACATCACTGCATTTGAGAGGCAGAAGCAGTAGGATCAGAGAGAGGTTAAGATCAGCCTGAGCTACATAAAGAGACCCTGTCTCAAAAACCAGACAGAACAACAACAATGAAAGGCTGGGGGCATAGCTCAAGTGGTAGAGCACTCGCCTAGCATGTGTGAGGCCCGGGTTCAATTCCCCAGTACCACCCCCTCACCAAAAAAACCCCCAAAATATCAAATTACTTTCTACATTAGAAGTATTGTGTTTTCTTTACTGATGTAGGTAATGGTCCAACAGTGATATTCTATGGTATATTTCTTTAAGAAGCACAATTCTTATTCAGGTCTTTCAGCCATGTTTAACTTGGATTTTAGCTAAATTGCCCAAGATAACAGAATATTCCCACAGAAAGAAAGAAAAAGAACATGTGCCAAAAGTTGAGCCTTATCGTTGAGAGTAGACACATCAACTGTTGCTGGCTTCAAGCTTTCTTCTCTTTCAGAATGAAGTGACAAACATGTGGACTTAAGAATGTGATCAAAGTACATTAAACACATGTATGAAATGTCATAAGGCAACTCATTTTATTTTATACAATTAACATATGTTAAAAAAAGGATTTAATCTTATGAAAAATCTACCTTAAAGTTGATTTAGAAACACAAGAGACCTCGAATAGCCAAGGCAATACTCAGCAAAAAAAGCAATGCTGGAGGTATCACAATACCTGACTTCAAACTATATTACAAAGCAATAACAATAAAAACAGCAGGGTACTCGCACAAAAACAGACATGAAGACCAGTGGAACAGAATAGAGGACCTGGATATGAATCTACACAACCATACCCACCTCATTTTTGACAAAGGTGCCAAAAACATACAATGGAGAAAAGACAGCCTCTTCAACAAATGTTGCTGGGAAAAGTGGTTACCTGCCTGCAAAAAACTGAAACTAGATCCATATCTATCACCCTGTACTAGTATAAACTCAAAATGGAGCAAGGACCTAAATATCAGACCTGAAACTCTGAAGTTAATACAGGAAAGAGCAGGAAACACTGTGGAACTAATAGGTATAGGCAAGGACTTCCTCAATAGAACCCCAGCAGCCCAGCAACTAAGAGAAAGGATGGACCAATGGGACTTCATAAAATTAAAAAGCTTCTGCACAACAAAAGAAATGGTCTCTAAACTGAAGAGTCCACCCACAGAGTGGGAGAAAATATTTGCTAGCTATACATCAGACAAGGGACTGATAACCAGAATACACAGGGAACTTAAGAAACTAAACTCTCCTAAAATCAATGAACCAAATAGAAAATTGGCAACTGAACAAAACAGAACTTTCTCAAAGAAGAAATTCAAATGGCAAAAAAGCACATGAAAAAATGCTCACCATCTCTAGCCATAAAGGAAATGCAAATCAAAACCACACTAAGATTCCACCTCACCCCTGTTATAATAGCCATCATCAAAAATACCACCAACAACATGTGCTGGTGAGGATGTGGGGAAAAAGGAACCCTAATCCACTGCTGGTGGGAAAGCAAGATGGTATAACCACTATGGAAAAAAATTTGGAGACTTTTTAAAAATCTAAACATAGACGTGCCATATGATCCAGCAATCCCACTCCTGGGGATATACCCAAAGCAATGCGACACAGGTTACTCCAGAGGCACCTGCACACCCATGTTTATTGCAGCACTATTCACAATAGCCAAGTTATGGAAACAACCAAGATGCCCCACTATTGATGAATGGATCAAGAAAATGTGGTACTTGTACACAATGGAATTTTACTCAGTCATGAAAAAGAATGAAATCTTATTATTTGTAGGTAAATGGATGGAACTGGAGAACATCATTCTGAGCAAGGTGAGCCGGCTCAGAAGACCAAAAATTGTATGTTCTCCCTCATATGCGGGCTTTAGATCTAGGGCAAATGCAGCAGCAATGTGGTTGGGCTTGGATCACATGACAAGGGGAGAACACATACAGGAGATATAGGAATAGGTAGAAAACCCAAAACATGAAAGCGTTTGATGTCCCCACTCCAGAGGAATTAATACAGAAACCTTAAAGCAACAGAGGTTATCATGAGAGGGGATCAGTAACCAGTGTAAAGATCAGATAGAGATGAATTAACATGTGTCATAACACATGTGTACATGAAAGCAATGCTAGGACTATTTCTGTATAGCTATCCTCAACTCAACTAACAAAAATGCTTTGTCTTCCTTATTAGGCTTGTGTCTTTTCTTCAACAAAATTAGTGATAAAGGCAGAACAGGACCTGCCTAGAACTGAGTGGGGGAGAGGGTGGGGGAAGGGGGGAGGGGGAGAGGGTGAGGGAGGGGGGCAGGGGTGAGAAATGACCCAAACAATGTATGCACATGTGAATAAATAATTAAAAAAAAAGAATTCAATCTTAAACATTCCTTTAGGATAAGACAACTAAAAGGTCCTTTCACCATGACTCACCTGCAAAAATTCATTGAGCTCCACTTGTCCATTTTTGTTCAAATCTACTTCATTCAGAATCTCATGTAGTGTATTTTCATCCATTTGCACATTGATACTCTAAGTAGGAATGAAATACAGAATGTGAGGTTCAACTAAAAATTATGCATATCAATGGAGAACAGGAAGGTAACACAGGTCCACTGGTACCAGTGGGAGAGGGGGGCTACAAGGAAAGGGTGCAGGAGGCTGAATATGGTGGAAATACTATGTACACATGTGTGAAAATGAAAAAATGAGACCTGTTGAAGACATTCCAGGAACGAGGGGAGAGGGGTAAAGTAGAATGATAGAGGAGGTAAATTCAACCATGTTACATTGTAAGCACTTTTGTAAATGTCACAGTGTACCCCCAGTACAACGATAATATGATTAATAAAAAGTGTAAAGAAAATTATACATATCCTTTCTTTTTTGGCAGTACTGAGGCTTGTACACTTGAGCCACACCCCAGCCCAGTGCATATCCATTTTCCAATGTTACCAAGCTTTCAAAAATTAAATATTGCTTGTAGAAAATGCTAGATGACAAAAAAGTTATCCAATATTATCTTTATATACTTTTATTACCAAAGACTGATATTGAACCAAAAAACTATATTTTTTGTCATATATATATATATATATATATATATTACCTCTAATACACGCTGAACATCAACAATTGTAATAAAGCCTTTTTGGTCTGCATCAAACTTATGAAATCTCTTCTTATATCTGCAACACAATAATAATAGGAAAATATACTTACAAAGAAGAAGGAGGAAGGGGGGGGAAGGGAAGGAAGAGGGGAACAGGAAGAAGAGGAAAGACAGAGCTTATTGGAAGTACCTGTCAATGTCTGAAGGCAGTAGGCTAATTTCAGAGCGATCTGTCAACTGTTCTGATCGAGATTTATAGCCCATTTCATAATATAGAAACTTCCTGGCTGTTTCAAGTTCTTCCTAAAACAGAGACACACACAAAGTTCAAAGACTTATAGAAAGAATTATTGATTTTTTTTCTCCTTTTTCCTTTTGGTCTTCAAAAAGAAAATTGATCCTCATTTGACCGGAACATTTATATGTTCCAATTTTATGGACATACATTTCACCTCTTTAGGTGTTCAATTAATATGATCAAGATATAGAACATTTCCATAACTCTAAAAAACATCCTCGTGTTCATCTGTAGTTGGTTTCTTCCCCTGAACTCTTGTCCCAGACATTCCCCTAAAAAAGCAGAATTTTTGGAATTTCATACCAAAGGTTTCTTATAGAATGTACTCTTCTGTGTTGGACTGCTTTCACATATTATAATGATTCATGTTGCTACATGTTTTAATGTTTTGTTTCTTTTTACTGAACAGTATTCTCTCACAGTATTAACCAGCAAATTCTAAATTCTGTTCTTATAGTTTGAGAACAAAAAAATTTGATTGAAAGTGAAGATATCTAGGACTTGACTCACTACTATAATACAGCATGCATCAGGAGATTAGTATGCCGAAATTTTGTCACCAGGATTCTGATAGCTACAGAATCAGGAAGAAACAAGCTCTCCTCAATAGTGATCCTTTCTGTTTTCAATGTCCTCAGTGTTAACCAACCTAGATATGCTGTCTTTCTTAGTTTCTGTCATATAACTCTCCTCTCCCATCAAAGTACCTCCAAGATGACTCTGTTGTAGAATATTTGTTTGCAAATCTTTTCTCACATATATAAATGAGCACACATGAGAGAGAGAGAGAGAGAGAGAGACTTTTCCCCCTTACATAAACTCCAATAGAACATGAATGAATACACAACATGACACTTTTGAGTGAAAGCTTTAAAAATAATTTCCTAGTTTTCCTTGCCTTTCTTGCTCCTGTGCCATGAGAAGGGCATGTTTTAGATGAGAACTGAGTATGAAGAAGAGCTATGGCAGCTAACATGCTGTTTTCATGTAATGTAAGTGAAAAATAAATGCTTGCTGTGATAAGCCACTGAGATTCTGCAGTTGCTTGTTATACATTGCAACCTAGCAAAAAAACCGATACAAGTCTCAAATTCCCAGCTTCCCATCAAAGAATGTTATTAACTCAATGGGCCATTCTTATCTGAAGTGTAAATACCAGTGAAACAAGTAGGAGGATTATAAATTTGAGGCCAGCTTGGGCTCAGTGTGCTCCAGGTCAACATGGGCTACATGGTCACATCCCCCCACAAAAAAATAGTTATGTTGATGCCTGTAGCAATTTTTCCCCAACACTCAGCCAATTCCTGACACTATTCATGTAAATCAATATTATCTCTGATATCCATCCTTTCATTGTCTTCAATCTGTTTTAAACTTCGTGTTTAAACTGTGGTCATTTCTTTACTTGCTTCCTTTTTCCTCCTCATTGGGGATTAACTTTGAAAATGTTTCTTTTTGTGAGACTTTCTTTAAGCTATTTAAGTGATCTTTAAAGTCTCTCAATGAAAACTATGTTTTCATTGAATGTTAAAAAAAATTCACCTTACCAACCAAATCCTTCAGAGCAGCATTTCCAAAATATGTCCTTAAGCAATGTGAACCCTTTCCTGCTTAGCCTTCTCCAAAAGGGAAAGTGTGGTCTGTGTCCAAGAAAGTTCCAATCTTTTAAAAATTGACAGTACATATAAGCATTTAGAAGGCTCCAAATTATCTGAACTGAAAACAAAGAGTTTTCTTTCTTTAACACAGAATTTCCAAACTCTTTTGACTCTGTAGTTATCTTTTCACATATATTAATTCATATCCTGTGGAACACAGTTTTGCAATGTCACTTTCTCTAAATGTCCCAATCCACTCCTCAATCAGTTTCCACCTCTACCACACAATGCCTTCCTCTCTTCTTCCTGATTAGTTGGCTTTCAATCTTATTGTCTCAATTTTGTTTTCTGAGATAAGATCCCACTATGTAGCCCAGGCTGGCCTCAAACTTGTGGCCCTCCTGTCTCCACCTTCTGAATGCTGGGGTTAGAGCACTGAGCCACCATACTTGATTTGGCTTTCAATCTTGAGTAACAATTCCTCTAAGTACTTCTGTAAAATTTGAAAATATACACACATTTCTAAAAGGTGTTGTATTTGCACAATTACAAAAATCCTTGAAACCATGAGCTATTTATTATTCCTCTAAAATATATGGTACAATGTTCAGTATACAAGTCACTCATTAAGTATTGACCAGTAAAAACAACCACAATTCATCTGCAGAAAGTTATTTATCACCTCGCTCCTCTTTTGCTTCTGCAGGTTAAATAATCCCACTGCTTTTAACCTTTTCTCAGAAGTCCAACTTTCTAACCTTTTAATTCTTCCCCCCTCCTTTGTTCTCTCTAGACTGCTTGCGGTTCTCATTAATACTCCTATGTCTCAGACACTGAATAATAACTTAGGTCTTTCACTTTTATTATTGTGTTATGGGGGATAGAAGAGTATTTCAAAGCACACAAATCTTCTCATAAATTTGAAATGAAGTTAATTCTAGTTTCCTAAGAAGGCTAAATACAACCAGTTTCAGAGCTTCTTTCTCCTTCCTACCTCCTAACTCCTCAATTCCTAGCACAAAAAAATGTTCCTGCATATTCAAATCATTTCAACATAACTGGAAAAGGAAAAATGATTAGTAGTCACAAAGGCATAAGTTTGATTCTTGTGTTGGCTCTGTACGAAGTTTTAACTGATTAAACTAATACTCAAAAGCTGATGCAGAGGCACCTGGGCAGGGTTGGGAAAGTTCATACTCTAGGATCAGAACAACACTAGGTTTTCATCTCAGAGCTACAACTTACTGCTGGTATAAACTCTGTCAGGGATTTACTCTGTGAACCTGTTTCCTCATCTACAAAATGGGGGAAAAGTTACCCTTCACAGAGGCATCATCAGAATCAAGGCACTCTGACAGGTGACCTCTACCATCAGTGCATGGCAGTATTCGGCATTAAAATTACTGGGGGAAAACTTTAAAAGTAAGGTCACTTTTCATCTCTGAGAACTTTGATACCTACAGTCGAAAATAAGTCCTCTAAACCTGCTCTTCACCCCTCCGATATTTCCCAGGTGATTGACAGGTAACCATCTTTGGAATGGTGAGAACACCTTAAGGACAGACCATATGCCCAATCCCTCACTGCACGCTCAGCACATTACACAGATGCTCAGTAATGTCCATTCACTCCACGTGAAAACACACTAAGGGTGTGTCTGCCCCCGAACCAGGAAGTGGCACCACCAGCACTCAAATCTGCTGGAGCCCTGATCCAAAATGTCTCAGCCTCCAGACTGTGAAAAATGAATGCTCATTATTTGAGCCACCCAATCTATGGTATTTCTGTTATAACATCTCAGCAGACTGTTATCTTCTGGGTCACAACTCCATTTTAGTCTTTGCATATATCTTCCAACATTACTAGCTATTACTTTCTCTTTCTCCTCAATTCTTTCTTGTCACCATAACTTGCAAAGTTAAGGTGTCTCTGAAAGTCTCTGGGTCACTTTCCTTATCTAACTACACTGACTCTCTCCATGATCTCATCCATTCTGATGGCTTAAAAGCCAACTCAAATGTATGTCCCCAGCTCAGGTCCCAACTGATATATCCAGAGATCTGGATTATGTTTTCATAGAATCATCAAAGTTGTTAAAGCAGAAACGCTGGACTGGGAGAGATAAGTTCTGTGATAATTCACGAGAGTTGCTAGCAGCCTGAACCAGGGTGGTAGTAGTGAGTGTGTTAAGAAAGGGTTGAACCAAACCATTATTTGAAGATAAATACGGCAAGATTTACTGATGGATGTAGATAAGTTATGAGAGAATATATAAAGTATTCTCAGGTTTAGGCTTGAGCAACTGAAGGAAAAAAAGTTACTTATGATATGGAAAAGTCTTTAGGCATTGCATTTGGAGGAGGTAAGAGAAATGGTCTTCCAGAGTGGTAAAAAGTAGTTAAGAGTCAGGGGTGTTGGCACCCAGCAGCCCAGCACTTGGGAAGTGGAGGCAGTAGTTTTTGGGCTACAAAGAGAGAGCATGTCTCAAAAATCCAAACAAAAGGAAGTAGTGCAAGAAGGAAGGTAGAATCAGCTGTGTCATACGCTGTGGCCTGCTCAGGTAAAATGAGAAGTGAGAGTTGACAGGTATATTGAGCAGTGTGGTTATTACTGGTGAGGTTGGCCAGGGCTAATAACAACAAACTAATGGCTAAAAGAGCTGGAATAAAATGGATTCAAGTGAGAGTGGGAGTAGGGAACTGAACCCTGTGTGTGTTGGAAGTAGTTTTAGAATAGATGAAAATGTTTCATAGGCCTTTGAATGTCACAAGTTTGGGATAATTTAAAAAAAAATACATGAAAAAAACATGAAGATCTTATTACAACATCCATGGGTATGTATGTGTGTGTGTGTGTGTGTGTGTGTGTGTGTGTGTGTGTGTGTAAAAGGGCAGGGAGCACATTACTGGCTTTCTCTTTTAAATTTGGACATAAATAAAAAATCTCTAATGACACAAATGATGTGCACTTGGTGGTCAGGCAGCAAAACCATTGCTTTTTACCAAAGGCAAATGAGCAAGCACACGAATTTCCACTAAATATATTCTAAAAGTATTTTCAATGAATCTCAGAAAAAGATCCTATGCCACCACCATTCATAGCTTTCTTTTCCCGGAATTAGGACTGCAAATTGAAAAGCAATGTCCATAAGAGGTTTTCCAAGAACAATCACATTTTGGTACTAGACTCTCTTTCCATTTTCCTGAGGCCTAGCAATATTAAATACATACACATACAGGCGTTGGCAAGAAATCTAAGATCACCACCAACAAACAGATCAAGTACGTACTTGCTCACAAAGGGAGAGTGTATAGAATACCTGTTTCTTAGCCTCACTCCAATTCAGCTCTCTGCCCATCAACTCAACAATCCTGGGCAGGGCTTCCTCCGCCGCCTGGACATTGAGGAAGGCTAGGCGGGTGCGGCGGGATATCATGTCCACCGCAGTGCAGGCGTACTCCTTAATCCCGTATTTCACCTGAATTAAAGGAAAATTGTTTATTTAGATCTTCCTCTGGGGAAGAAATACAGTTTCACTTTTAAAAAATTATGCTTGGAAAAGGTGATATTTTGCTTTAGAGTCTCTGGTTCTCTAGCAGGCATGACACAAATGGTGGTGCCACCCAAGTCTTCCCTACTGCCTGCGAAAAGAGGCTTGGGAAATGGGAAGAACTGGACAAGTGTTAATGCCTTCTTCCTCAACAAAGCCTGGCCTAAGCATGCGAACTGCATCACTTCTCATTAACCGTCTGCAGGAACAGTTTGCTCATATGTAGAGGGGAAGCTCATTGACACAGATGAGCAGGCAGAGGGTAAGCATTGAGAAGCTATGGTTTCGCTCCTTCAGGCTGTAAAATTCTGTCTCAGAGTAACCAGATGACAGAGTTTGACTTCAGCCAACAATTAAATGCTTACTGGGGCACAATGAATTACAAATAAATACAAGGCATAGTCTCTTGTTTCAGAAAATTTGAAAACATGATGACAAACAAAGCTTAAGACGTAGAGGAATTGTCAAAGCAGGAAGGTATGTCATCGGTAAGTCAGGAGTGGCACAAAGTTGAAAACTAAAATTCACAAAAGGGACAAATGACTGTAAACTCACAAGATTAGGGATAGCTTCATGGAGAAAAAAGGAACTCATATTTGTTACTTTGACCAGTTATCAACATCACTTCAGAATTCAAATTTCATAAATAGAAGAGTCTACACTTGGCAAAAAGACACTTAGGTTTTAGCTAAAACATACTTTAAAACTCAGCTACAGAACTGGGTGTGGTAGCACACACTTGAAATCTCAGTTACTAGAGAGACAGAGACTAGGGGGAAATCATGGTTTGAGACCAGGCTCAGGAAAAAGTGAGATTCCATCTCAACAAATAAGCTTGGTACAGTTGTTCACACCTGTAATATCAACATCACAGGAGGCATAGGTAAGAGGATCTCAGCCTGAGGCAGGGCCCAGACAAAATTGCAAGACCCTATCCAAAAGATAACTAAAAAAAAGGGGTGGGGGTTGGGAGTATGGCTCCAGTGGTAGAGTGTCTGTCTAGCAAGTGTAAGGCTCTGAGTTCAAATCCCAGTACCACCAGAAAATAAATTAATGAAATAAGATAAACAATATGAAGAATGAACAGATACATGGTATTATACGGCAGGCAAGGGGTTCTCCAGTGACCACTCACATACCTCTGCTTCAATATATGGAAATTCTGACACAAGACGTACTCCAACAATAGGCCACCTTTTTCCAGTCACACTTGCCATTTTGGCCACCTCAAAAGCCTTGTCACCATACGTGGCAGCCAGGTGCTGTGCCACCTGCAGAAACAAACTGCGTTAGGCAGACACTTTGACTATTGGTACATTTTTTTTCTTTTTCCAGTGCTTTTATTTCTATTTTTATTTTTTTGATTCATTTCTTCACATGTGCATACATTGTTTGGGTCATTTCTCCCCCCTGCCCCCACCCCCACCCCCTCCGCCCCACCCCCCTTGCTTCCAGGCAGAACCTGTTCTGCCCTTATCTCTAATTTTGTTGAAGTGAAGACATAAGCATAATAAGAAAGACAAAGTGTTTTTGCTGGTTGAGATAAGGATAGCTATATAGAGAGATTCCTAGCATTGCTTCCATGCACAAGTGTGTTACAACCCAAACTGATTCATCTCTAACTGATCACTACCTTGCTTCCTTATCCCCTTCTCGTGTTGATCTCTGTCGCTTTAAGGTTTCTGTATCAGTTCCTCTGGAGTGGAGACATCAAACGCTTTCATGTTTTGGGTTTCCTACCCATCCCCATATGTCTCCCATGCTTTCCCCTGGTCATGTGACCCCAAGTCCAACCACATTGCTGCATTTGCCCTAGATCTAAAGTCCACATATGAGGGAGAACATACGATTTTTGGTCTTCTGAGCCTTATTGGTACATTTTAGGTACTAAAAAAATAAATAAAATAAACACCAAGTTCACGCTTATCTTGTCAGTTTCCTTATAGCCTGTGACTAATAGTTCTGAGAGAGCATTAGGATTTGATTTTGTGGGAGGGAACACTTGAGCTCCAAATGCTTAGGCCAGCACTAACTCAAGGACTCATGTATCACTGCATCGGTGACGGATGAAGCTTCAGCTTCATTTTGCTCTGGTGTTTCTTCTGAAGCTCAGACTTCCCTGTGCTTGGGAGAAAGAATTTGGGAAGCTCTATATGCTAGAACAAACCAAGAAACTCCAGGTTTCAATATAGAAACTGATGTGTGCACTATCTTTTAGGCAACTGTAGCAAAGCTGGGTCATCTTTTTCTCTTCACTGACTTTTGCAGTGCCCAAGACACATATACCCAGCAAAAGGGGCCACATTGTAGTTTCAGCTCTGTTGCTAACAACAGTGAAAGATGAAGGAAAGAGCAAAATGACTTGGCAACTCCCACCCACCTCACTTTCGAGTCCGTAATCCTGGACCAGCCTGATGTACAGTGTGGGACTCCAATCTTTGCCTCCTTGAAGGTAAAGCCCAACTGTCTTACTTGGTCCTGCTTTCAAATTGTGAACCTTGATGGCAGCATTCACCGTGTCTTCTGCCATGGACCGGTACGTTGTCCACTTCCCGCCTACAAAGAAGGCAACACACAACTCACTAGGTTGCTCCTTTCATTTTTCTGTCAAGTTACTAATAATAAATTTACCTGTTGCTTATAATACATGTGGTAAAGCAATGTGTAAGACTCTACTTAGAATCATAAAAAGAAAAAAAATTATTTTATTAACGTTATAAAAGAATCTCATGGGACAATTTAGTCAAGCTTGTATCAGAAGCACATCCAAATAACAAGGCCAGATCCAAACCTGCTATTGTGACGAGGCCACTCTCACTGATGTCCACAACATGGTTTCGGGAGATGGACTGGGTATCTTCAGACTTGGGATCTGTAACAAGGGGGCGGATACCACTCCAGGCTGCCAGGACGTCCCCTCTTCTCACTAGTAGGGATCAATGCCAAGGGTTAAGAGGATTACTTAAAAAAACATTTCAACAAAAGTACAAAATAATTAATATACATTCAAAAAGATAAATATAATGTGGGTGCACTGTAGAAGAGAGAGAAAATCCTTAAATGTAAGAACTATAAGGGAGGGTAGATGCAAGGAAACTCAAAGACTTATTATTTGTGACAGATAATTTATCTGGGAAAAAAAAGCAAAGAACTTGAAAATCACTGTCATTGATACCAAAGAGGAAGCAGAAGAAACAAATGTTAGCAACCCTCAATCAGGCACAACGAGGAGCAGTTAAAAGAACAAAAAGGAAGAAACAAATAAAAACAATTCAAGATACTTATGAATTATTAAATGTCCTTCTAGGTCTTATCTTTTCTCCAGGAAGACAAAGATTCTAATTAAAAACACAAGGCTGCAAGGGATATCTCCTCTTCTCATCAATACACCCACTGAGTGAGCACTGACAGCAGGCCAAACACTGGTCAAAGCACTTGACATACACATGTCATCTCATTTAATCTCACAAAGCCCCACAGCATTGGATCTCATGATTCTCACCACACAAACTGATAAAATCGGACCGACCAAAATGGGCAATCAACATGTCCAAGACAAACATCATTTTAGGAGGGGGGTGTTTTTTTTCTCCCACTGGGGTTTTGAACTCAGGGCCTCAAGCTTGCTAGGTAGGTGCTCTAACCACTGAACTACTCCCCAGCCCAAGACAAACATCATTTGATGGTGGACCAGCATCAGAATTGAGTACTGGTTGTGAAGTCCATACTCTCAACTGCCTCTCAACTACTGATAATTCTCATACTTTGCTCTCTTTCAGTCTCATGCTTTATTTTTATAAACGACACAGAAACAGATACATGACTTCTCCTGGTACGTATGTAACACTTGTGTTATTGGGTATGGAAGTTCTTTCAATAATCAAGATGAAACATCATGAAATTATCCTTACTATCTCTGCCAACATGCAATGATCCATATATATGAAGAATTGAGGGAGTTCATATCATAATTAGCAGCCAAATAGCATTCATTACTGACCTAAAAAATGGCTGAGGACAGTAGATCAAATATGGGTCTGGTCTACCATCAAGGTAGGATAAAAACTCAAAGGCTGGGTTTTCCAAATTTGTCCTTCTTCTTCGAAGATAGCTTTAGGGATGGCTTTGCTTTCTTTCCCTCTATGTGAGTTGATGATCACGCACACCAAGACAACAGCTGCTTAAGGATGTAAAGTGTAGAAAGGTGAATGTTTATCTGCTCCTTTCTGCTGCACTTACCACTTCTGGATAATACAGATGTAAAGGCAGTTTTGCTTCATTTGTGTCCTAGGGCCTTTTCCTTACCCATTATACTCTTACCCATTATGCGTATTGATAAAAAAATTGATGGTAGATACTCTTGAAACCTTCAAGATAATGGGAAAACTGGATTTCTACATGCAAAAGGATAAAGCTGAACTCTTACCTTATACCATATACAAAAATTAACCCAAAATGAGTCATAGACCTAAACAAAAGAAATGAAACTACAAAACTCTTAGAAGAAAACATAAGGGAAATGCTTCATGGCATTTCTTGGATATGATATCAAAAGAAAAACATATAAAATGAACTCTGACAAAATTAAAAAATTTTGTGAATCAAAGGATACTATTAATAGAATGAAAAGTCACTCCACCAAAAGTAGAAAAATATTTGCTTATCATTCATCTGAGGTAAATTAACATTCACAATATATAAGGAACCCCTTAATCTCATCACCAACAAAATAAATTAAGAAATGGACAAGAACTTTTACAGACATTTCTCCATGGAAGATATACAAGTATTCAAACAGCACAAGAAAAGATGCTCAAAGTCACTAATCATTAGGGAAATGTAAATGAAAACCACAATGTGGTTTTCACACTCATTAGGATCGTTATTATAAACAAAACAAAAATAACAAAAGAACCCCCCAGAAAACAGCATTATAGCTGCTATGAAAACATGCATGGCAATTCCTCAAAAAATCAAACATTTGGAATTACCATATGATCTAGCAACTACACTTCTGGATATATACTCAAATGAGTTCAAAGTGGAGAAAGTTTACACACCCATTTTCAAGCATTACTCACAATGACCAATGGGTACAATCAGCCCAAGTGTCTGTCCATCAACAGATGAATAAAATAAACAAGATGTGGTACATAAACAGCAGAATCTATTTCAGCCTTAAAAATGGAGAAAATTCTGATATAGGTAACAAAATGGATGAACATTAAAGACATGCTGATTGAATAAGTAAATCACAAAAGGACAAATATTATGTTATTCCACTTATATAAGGTACTTCTGAGTGCTCAAACTCACAGAAGCAGAAAAAGAAAGGTGATTGCCAGGGACATGAGGAGAAGAGAGAGGGAGTAGGAGTTAGTGTTTAAGGGTAAGGAATTTCCATTTAGGAAGGTGAAAAAATTCTTCAGATGGATGGTGGTGACAGTTGCACAACAATGTGGATGCAATTAATGTCACAGAATTGTATACTTAAAATGGTGAATGTTATGTATACTTAACTACAATAAAAAATCAAGATAAAAGAGTAAGCTGATACAACTTAAGTTTCAAAATATGAGATGGTTAAGAAAATAGTTTACAGCAGGACACAGTGGCTCATATCTGTAATCTTGGCTCTCAAGAGGTTATGATGGGGGTGGATGGAGGTCAAGGACAGCTAGGGCAGAACGTTAGCCAGAACCCATCTCAACAAATAAGACAGAATTGGTAGCCCACATCTATAATCCCAGCTACTTGGGAGGCACAGGTAAGAGGACTGAAGTCTAAGACCAGACCTGGGTGAAAATGCAAGACCCTACCTAAAAAATAGCTGAAATAGCAAAAGAAAAAATAAACAAGTTAGGGGAAAGGCTCAAATGGTAAAGAACCTGTGTAGCAAGTGGCAGGCCCTGAGTTCAAATCATAGTACCTCCAAAGATTAAATAAATAGTTTTCATATAATACAGAAGTATCAGAACATCTACAGGTGTCTACCATACCCAGGACTTAGTTCAAATTAATAAGTGTTTTGTGAGGGCCAAGAGTGTGGCTCAAGTGGTAGAGCATCTATCAGGCATGCACAAATCGCTGGGTTCAATTCTCAGTACCACAAATAATAAAATAAATACACACACACAGACATAATACATAAATGCCTTGCAAGGAACAGTTTTTTGAGCACAGGACAGGCTGTATTTCAACTCCTGCTTACCCTTTGGTTGTGTGCTCTGGAACAGCAAACACTGTCAGTATACACAGCATCAAGTGAAAAGTACTACAATATCTATGCTAAAGGGTCACAAAGACTCTTTGAAATGATTGAAATGATCTTAAAAATAAATGTACCTTACCAAGTATAGGGAAAGACCCTAAACACAAGTTGTATTGGATGACTGATAGTCACCCCATTTTGATCTCAAATAAAAAAGATTTCTGGTAAAAATAAATTCAACTAAAGAAAATCTAACATATTTTAATGTAGTTCCTTAAAGGCCACCCTCTTCAAACGACTATCTTCTCAAAGATGAGGAGACTGTGCACCGCTAGGAGGTGTTCAATTAAACCCAACACTAAACACTGTAACTTAGAGAAAAGACATAATTAACTACTGGGGAAATCTAAGATTTCTCAGTCTTGCTAACTGGAGATTGTCCGTGCTGGCAATCCAGCCCTAGATCTGTAACTTTGATACATGCATCTTAAATACTTTAAATCCCAGTGGCTTCTGTGGTTTAGGGTAAATTTCTGCTTCAAACCATTCTACTAGTCTTGTAAAGCCTCAACACAAATAGTGTAAAGTGCTTCAATCTTTACCAAAAAAAAAAAACCTAACTAGGAAATTACTACTATTTTCCATTAGAGTTCACATCACCCTCGGAGTCAAAAATAAAACAACCCAACCCACTTACAATGTCACTGTGGTCACCACACAACCCCTCCCATGTCTGTGAAATTCCTTAGGTAGTCACACTGATGAGGAATTTGGCTTCAACTCTTGAAGCTCTCTGACTAATTTTTAAAATACTGGATGGAAGATTAGATTTTCCAGAATAAGTTGAAGCATATGTGAATAATCTGTGACAAATGCTTTACCTTTTCCACTCTAATGAACAGAAAAAACACATCTACAAGATCGCATTGTCTCAAACAAAACGACCAAAGTGAAATATCCAATTCTTCACTTCCAACGGAAGACAAAGTAAAGCCTCTTGCATACTAGCACTGTTTTGAATCTGTATTCCTGGAATGATCCTCACGTGAACAACAAACCACTATCAGGAAGAAAGAGTTCATTATAACTTTATTTTTATTTTGAGATCTTAGCATTCAGCTTTTTAGAATTATACCAGATAAATTTTGGGACTGAATTATTCAAAAAGATTTATTTTAAGGATAATAAAATTTTATTTCAAATAGGAATAAGTCTTTATGGCCTGCAGAATTTTTGCATTGTTAAACCAGAAGATGGTTGGTTGGATCAGGTTATCTATCTATCGGCTTCCTCCCAACATGAAGATTTAATGTTTATTATGGTTTACTCAAAATGCTATTTAAGGGTTGGGTGCATGGCTGCAATGGTAAAGTGCCTGCCTTGCAAGAAGTAGGTCCTAAATTCAAACCCCAGTACCTACCAAAACAAACAAACAAACAAAAAACTGCTATGTGCTGTTGAAGTACACAGTTTGTATCTCTCCACCACTCAAATTCAGCAGAGACTTGACAGAGCCATGTTTATAATTTGTGTCCATGGGACACAGCACAACTAAGTGTGTGAAGCATTGATTTTAACCTCTTAAATAAAAAAAAGAAGGAAGTAACTGAATTAACATTTCTCTCTTTATGACTTATTTACCCAAGGTGGAAATAGTGTATACTGTTAAAATAAACCTAATTAAAATTTATTTGAATAAAGAATCACTATCGTAT